AGGTAAGAAATCACCTGTGTAAATTGAAGCTTCACGAGCAGCCACTTACAAGTTTGAAGTGTTAGCCACGAGTGTCGCATGCTTCATGACAAATACTTTACATTCATCAGGTAAAAAGTCCATTAGAACCTGGACAAACATTAACATTACAACTATCAGGAAATTAATACACTATCAATCAGTATTGCATACAGCTTGATCAAGTGTTAACACTTAAAACCACTCGGTCATAATCTGTAAATTATTATTCATCATCACAAGATGTATATTAAAGAACAAACTTAAGCGCTCCGTAGCATCAAATTTAATATTGAGGATGTATTCAGAAATCCCACCCTTCTAACGTTATACCAATATGATTAAAAGATTTGTCTATGTTAGAAATAATCCATAAAAATAATCGATCCAGTTAACTGCGATCAGTTTAACAAAGTATGTAAAAACACTTATATTTCCAAGTGTGGTGAAATAAGTGGAAAATAGCAGGCCAACATCTCTGTCATCGTCATTGCAGTCTTTATAGCTTAGTTTCGTCGATCGTTGTCTCATCCCGCGAAAGATCATCCTTATTGTCATTCTTCGTTGCCAGAGAATGACTTTCCAATAGACAGAAATCAAACTGCGCTCAAGTTAAATCACGAGCTACTCACGGAAAATCATGAATAAACAAAAAAATAGATTTGTGATAAACTTGCATAATGTATGATGATTACTTATCTTTTTCCGACGGAGACAGCATTGTGCCACATTTTGATTTGGATGTGCAAAATAAAAACAAAATGTGTTGCTCACGATGTCGCGCGCGTAGGTAGAATAGAAGTAACAATAGAGTTTTTCGGAACATCATTCTCAAATTTCGGCTGGCTACTGATAAATAGTTAGAAAATATAATATGATTTAGATTAAAAAATATATTAAGGATCAATATATTGCACATATTACAAAATACAAATAATACATTCTAAATATTTCACATTTCTAAACTATATAAATTAGAAATGGAAAACCTCCATTGACATATTTAACCGGAGTTTCGTTGCAAGTAGAGTATTCATCACTTGAAACAAGTAAGAAAATAACATGTGAATTCATAATCACAACTTTTAATCATAGTAACTTAGGCTTTCAATGATGATCACTTTGATGAACAAGTTTTTCAGGTATTGTTGTTTGTATAGCTCTTGATTTGTGGTGATTTTGTACAGTGATGTTTCTGTGATTTTTGCTGATTATGTTTTGTTTGTTTTTTCCTAGCTTCATGTTGTGGATGCTACCAACACAAAATAGTTTTTTATTATATGTTTGTGTATGTTGTAGTAACTTGCTTTGTTTATTAAGGTTTACTTTTCTGTTGATTTTTTTTTATTCCTTGCTCAATTTTTGTTCTCTTTTTCTAAATTTGTTGTTATTGTGTGTGATTGTCTCTCTGTATGTTTAGTTCATTACTATCAAACAAAATTTGTGATTTTTATGTAGACCACAAAAAAAGACGAAAACAACACTTATCTACATCTTGGTATAGTACTCATTAGTATTTTAGATGCAAAAAAACAAAAATAAAAAACAGACATGGAGAATCCATGTCAATTATATCAATAACGCATAAACAAGAACCACAAAAGTCCTGTGAAATTGTCTCTTAATCATCTAGCATCAGCAGAAGTGAAAGAGTCAGCAAATCCATTAGGCCTCACTGCAATACTTCCTTTATTGTCTTCAGGGCTAGCAGTTGAAGTACTATAGCTAAACTCACTTTTTTCTGCATCCTTCCAAATTTTCAACATGTGAGGAAGTGGTTGAGTATCGTCAACAGCAGAATAGGAATCGAGTTCATTGGAAACCGGTCGCCATTTCTCCACTACTGCTGATAGTACTTTGACATCATGACTCATATCTGGCCTATGATATGCTTCCCTAGCAGTGCAATGTCCAGCAAGTTCTGCTACAATAGTTATACTGTCACATGTTTCTTCATTTTGTTCCAAAGTTGGATCAATAGCAGCCATAAGCTTTTCATTGTTCGATTTAACTCACCAAAACCATTCGGTCAAGCATCGGATTTCCAATTAAAAAAACTAAAAAAAAATCAGTTTATATGCAATGTTATATAATAATGATTCATTTATATATAACATGTAAAATAGAAGAAAAAATAATCTTATTTATAAAGGGTTAATTTTGTTTTTTTTATCCATCTTCTATCAGAGTGGATCATCTTCTATCCATTTGTGTCATAGTTGAAGCAGAGTTGACCATCTTATATCTATCTGTGTCATAGTTGAAGCAGAGTTGACCATCCTCTATCTATTTGTGTTATAGTTGAAGCAGAGTTGACCATCTTCTATCGATCTGTGTCATATTTGAAGCAGAGTTGACCATCTTCTATCCATCTGTGTCATAGTTGACAATCATTTATCCATCTGTAACATAGCTGAAGCAGAGTTGACAATCTTCTATCCATATGTAACATGGTTCACACATAGTTGACCATCACCATAAGAATCTCTCACATGGTTTAGACATAGTTGACCATCATCATATGAATCTTTCACATGGTTCACAAATAGTTTATCAACATCATATGGATCTCTCACATGATTCACACATAATTGACCATCTTTTATCCATCTGTAACATGGTTCACATATAGTTGATCATCTTCTATCCATCTGTAACATGGTTCACACATAGTTGACCATCTTCTATCTATATGTAACATGGTTCACACATATTTGACCATCTTCTATCCATCTGTGCCATAATTGAAGCATAATTGACTATCTTTTATCCATTTGTGACATAGTTGAAGCAGAGTTTGAAGGTGTGAGAAATACAAGAAAGGGGGTTTGAATTGGGTTTCACCAAATAAAATCTTTTCGTTGGTGACAGAACAAGTTAGCTTAGAACAAAATAGTAAATAAACACAATGATTTCTATCCTGGTTTGCTGTAAACTAAGCTACTCCAGTCCACCCCCTCAAGGATGATTTCGCCTTTAACAATGACTTAATCCACTATAACCAAACTAATTACAAAACAACCCACAATAAGTCTGATCAATCTTATTGACACCCCCAATAAGTTTGACGATTCTTACTGTAAATCCACTCAAGCCGCAACAGGAGTCTTCTTGAGATCAGACCTTCACTTAGTCTCTCAAGGTATCATTTAACAACAGTTGAGTACTTCCAGTGTATTACAAATTTGCTTCTTGTAAGCAGATTACACAGACTTTTCAGTACAATGAAGAACATCTAAGTGTTATACTGCAAGATACGAGCAACAACTCCTTGCTTATTTACAAAATTATACACAGATGATATCTCTATAGAGTTTGCACAGTGCTTTGGTGTAGTTTTGTTGAGCTTAATTTGAATCGATAGATTTGTCGTTGTAGTGTTGTTTCTTACTTTTCTGCAACTTCCAAGTCTTCCTTTTATAACTTGTAAAAGAGATCCGTTGAAAGGGTAGACAGGTAAATCATAAATCTAGTTGTTGGTTCTCAACGGTTATAATGAGAGTAGTCACTGTCAAATACAAAAAAAATTGTTTTTGCGCGTATAGGTTACAAACACTTTATATACCTTTTGTACACTATCACACATTAATCTTATTTTATAGTGCAAATGCTTAGTCATATTTGAATCTTGAACTTTGTTATACTTCCACGACGCCAGAGTTTAATATTTTTGTGCCATAAATTAACTTAAGAAACCAAATATAATAACACAAGTAAAGCTAAGGGACTAACTTGTAATATTTTTTAGCTAATGGACTAAAGTGGCATATTAAATTAATTTAAGGATCTAAAATATGTATTAAGCTTAAAAATGATTATAATATTCAATTATTATTTTAAAGTAATTTAAAAAATCAATTTTTTTATAATAAATATGATCTTTTTATTTCAAATTAATTAATTAATTTTAAGAAAATTGTGTATTTTTTAAAATAAGAAATTATTTTTTCATCAGAAAATAAGTTTCAAATTATTAAAAATATTTTTAAAATAATTAATAACAATATTTTAACAATTAATATCTATTTTTAATTTTTTGGTTAGATTAGATTCATCCAAGTTATATGAATTTAAAAAAAAATATATTTTTTCAGTTAAATTATGTGATTCATTGAATTTTAGATATTTTTTATTAGATTAGATTCATTCAAATTATCAAACGAATGGATTGGATTAAATTCAATTATGTTGTGTAGTAAATGGATGTACAATTGAATGAATCGTATATTAATTCATCAAATTGTCACCTCTACTAAAAGAAAAATTGTAGAGCCTTCACAATAGTCCAACTAAATCTTATAAGATTACCTAGACATGAAAATTGACACGGTTATTTAATATTAGTGTTTTTTATAACTTAGTGTGTGTTTGAATCGCCGTAGACATAATTAATTGTGATAGAATTAAATCTAATAGAATTGATTTTAATATAATTGAGTTTAAGATAATTAATTTATGTTTGAATATATTTGTATAAAGTGAGTTGAACAACAAATTTCGGTGTAAAAATTACGTTTAAATTCATATATAAATTTCGACTTTAAGTAGAATCAATTCTGAAAGTCGAATTAATTCTATATTAGAAGAATCAAACACCTCAAAATCAATTCTTCGCAATTACTTTTGCACTGTGTTTTCTATTTCACTATTTTCTCTTGCACTATCATTTTTTAAAAGAAAAAACAGTTTTCCAAAAGTGCAATCAAACAATCCCTTAAAATTTTTCACTTTCAGTATAATTTGAGAACATTTAAATCCTTCAAAGCTTAACTCAATTGCTTAACAAGTTTGTGTTTGTGCACTTTAATCATAATTTCCAACTTCATTTTTTCTTAGTTTTCTCTGGAATCATATATTAAGATCATTCAAGAATAAACAAAACACACTAAATGTCTACCTATGAATCTATCTATTACATTTCCCAAAATGTCATAGGAAGAAGTATGAACTGTTGTAAACCATTGTTACCAGTCTCTTTATCATCATTGAGATCCTTTTCCATTAGAAGAATGAAATGGTTGAAACCATTGTTTCCAAGGTGCATCCTTCTGTTGTTCCAACCATGACAAGAAAGCACTATCCAATAAACAGAACAAGTTTACATACAGAAGCTGGTACTTGACAGGAACATACCGAAAATTGAAAATCTGCACAATTGGCCACACACCACCTTCTAACACCAACGCTGGGAAATAATTCCTCTTCAAGTCTTCCTTCACCTCAGGAATCGTCTTCCCGGCTGATAATCCCATGTAAGTGAAGAAGACAAATAGATGTATCGGACCGAAAATCAGGCCGTCCATTGCAACTTTAGTCGCTACGGATTGCGCAGTCTTTGGCATTAGCTTAAGCTTATGGTTTATGAATTTGTCTAATCCTTCATACCTACAAGACATTAAGGTTGGTTCAACGGAAGAAGAAATCATTACGCAACAATATAGAACATCTGAATCGAGTCTCAAATGGCCTGATAGCAGATGATCCAACAGATCTTAAATAATGATTGAGAAGCGTCGAAACCATTAATTGTGTTATAAACAATTTTAATCAATTCCAATCAACATCCATAACACATGTCTAAAGTAAAAAAAGCAGTTCAAGAGATAATACCAGAAGTGTCCAACGGGTCCAACAAAACCAACTCCAAACATACTTGTAACAGCCACACGTCTCCAATCGATCACGAATTTAGTATCAGCTTCCTGCACAACAACAATTATCATATTAGATAGCGACAGACAGAGAAAGAGCTGTGAAGGCGGTAGCTACCACATACAGTTAGAGATAATTGTTTTTTAGCAGCAGCAGTGTGAGTGATGTACTGAGCAGTGATATCTCCAACAGCCCAAAGAGCACCAGAGGTAGTGACTTGGGTCTTCACTGGATGAACTGACAGAGTTTTCTGATACCAGTTCCATGCCTTCAAAATCATCGCCATCTTCTGACAGCACTGGATTCTGGTTTGGAAAATGATTCGGGACGTGGCCGGGATATTGCCTCTTATCCCACTAATCTCTAGTAATTTTGCTTTGCGTATCAAGGGTTTCACTTTTTTTTCTACACTTTAAACCAAATCTCACAACATTTTTTTAATAAGAAAAATAATTAGGGTGTTAACCAAGCATTTGATTTCAATGGTAAAGGTGTTTATGTTAAGGATGCAACTCCCAAAAAATAATTAGGGTGTTTTATTTATTCAAATAAAAATAAATATTTTTTTAAATTAAATTACACTTTTGTTTTTTCTATTTTTCCCAACTTAAGATATCAATCCTTCTATTTTTTTTTAAATAAATTTTGGTCTTACATATTCAGTTTTCAACCCAAAAGTGTTGATGTGTACTAATTTTTAATACGTGATATTATTTGACTATTTCGCATAATTTTATTAATATCTTTATTTATTAATTAAATTAAAAATAATTTTAATGATTTAATGTTGTGTGTATCTTTATGTTTTCTCTTTCAAAAACAAAAAATATTTCTCTCATTTATTTTTCTTATCAAATTTTTGTTTATGCAAAGATTAGAGGGAGGATTATGAAAACGAAATACTCAAATTGATGAACGGTATGCTTTCAATTAAAACTTTATTGACGATGTAAGACATTGTTTCAACTCCTAAACACTGGAGAAATAAGGAAGTTAATTCCTCGTCCACACCTTTGAGACTAGAAGTTGAAGTTTCTTTCTATACGAAAAAACCCACAATCTTAATCTGGGGATGGGTAGTTCTCAGTTAATTTAACTATGCATTCAAATAAAAGAGAATAATGCAAGACACCTTTCAATAAAGGTTGCAAATACAAACTTTCTTTCGCACACATCAAAGAAGTGTCAAATATGTCTTTCAAATCAAAAGCTAATGATGGTTCGCCGTAATTATTAAGTCAGACAGTCACTATATTTCAAAAAAAGAAAAGAATAGAATGAAAAAATCAAAAGAAAAACTCCGCTAAGTCAAAACCTATGAAGGAGTCTTAGGCAAAAACGGGGGCACCATATTGAATGTAATCTCAAATGAAACAATTCAGGTAAAAGTTAGGGATAACAAAGACAAATTGAGTAGGCAAAAGTCCTCATTGGAAACAAAATATTGTGACTATAAAAAAGAAGAAGTGACTGCCATCTCAAAAATCTCTTGGTCTCTGAGCCATCATCATTACTATCATCAGTACAATTCTGAAATCTCTTGAAACCTGAATGCATAGTCTGAGTTAACTGAACGTAGGACTGAAGATCATCACAAAGATGGGGTGGGCACCAATAAATTTTGAGCCTTATATCCTTTTATTTTCAGAACCGTAAACCAGACCACGCTACAATACTCAAAAGACCTAATTGAAGCAAGGTTTCTTTTGAAAGCATACTACAACAAGGTTGCGTAAACTGACTCCAAAAAGATTTTTGTTAATCACTTATTTTGGTATCATACATTTGCATCATCTTTTACTGTGAATGTCTAAACCATCGTGTTTTGACCAGTGATCTATTTGCTATACATCAATAAGATCATTCCGAAAATGATTTTGATTTCAAACTTTTTGCATGAACTTTGCATTAAAATTATCATTTTTTGAAATGAACAAACTTTCCTCATCAAGGAAGTTCAAACAGTTGAGAAACTTGGTCAGTGATCCTATCAGGGGCAAGTATCCTTCAGATCCTGTTGTGAATTAGTTCAAGATTTGTTGCTCCGTGTAATTTATTCGCACAATTGGTTAACCAAAGATCTCTTTCAACACTCATATTGGGGAAAGCCTTCATAACTTTTGTTTCAAGACCCGAAGCCATGATCAATTTATCCCTAGCAATAACCAAACTGAATCTATGATCAATTTATCCTCAGCAGTCAGCTAATTGGGGGCAGTCTTCTTCAAGAGAATCCCCAAGCAACTCTTCAGTCCTTCCTCCAAGGATCATCAACTTGATACACTTTACAAATGTGACAGAGACGTGTTCAACATTTTCCCTAAATAGAGTTGGCAGTGTTCCATGTGTTGAGGAATCAGAGTCTCAATCTTACCTCACAAAGAGTCTATCTCCCTTGTCATAAATGTCTGCAACACATACATAGATAGTTCATATATCATGCATAGAAAAATTCATATACCATGCATAACTCGAAGTTTGTTTCATGCTCATTTGCATTTCTCAAGGTCTTGTTGTTATCAATATCTTACTTTATGGTCACAGTTCAACTTACTGGGCACCTACTAAAGCATATGTTTGTCCATCTGTTTCTCTTTTCCGTCCAACTCTAATCTTGGATGTGTTGTTTCTCTTTTCTGTCCCATGCTAATCTTGGATGTGTTTTTTTTCTCTTCTCCGTCCAATGCTAATCTTGGATGGGTTGTTTCTTTTTCCATCCAATGTTAATCTTGGATAGATTGTTTCTTTTTTTGTCCAATGCTAATCTTGGATGTATTTTTTCTTTTCTGTCTGATGATAATCTTGAATGTCACGTTTCTTATTTTCATCTGTGAGTGCAACTTCACTATTAGATGTTTTGCATGATATCAAAACTAGTAAAGCTAGAATTTTAGTATGGTGTACGATATCCTTATGTCTTGTGGCACTCTCTTGCATTAGAGGTCTTAGGAATCATTTAAAACAACTTTAAAATTGTCCCAATCATGAAAATTTAGTTTTTGCACAAAATCAACACTTATGTGTCGACTTGAAATTTGTATTAGTCGACACATAAATTCTACATTTCTTCATTTTATTAAAAGCTTCAGTATGTTTCAACACAAACAATTTTCAGGTCGACACATACGACTTATGCATCGATACATAGGATTTTTGAGTTAGCACATGTATTGTATTATTAAAGCTTTTAGCCACTATTTTGCATGTGTCAACACATAAACTTTTCAAGTCGACACATACTATTTTGTGGGTCATTTTTTCATTTCTAAACTACCCTCTTTTACCTAAAAAGAGTCCAAGTATAAATATATCATTCATGCATCATTCCAACTTGGTGAAACCATAAACGTTAGCCTATTTCTCTCATCATTTTCAACCTACAATCTATGCATACATACTGACATTATATTGTAGCGATGTTCTGTTGGGGTTCCATCTAAACGAGTTTTTAGGGGTTTTCATCCAAGAAAAAACATCGGGTTTATCCTCCAAGATCATTGGTTGATTTGGGGATTTTCGTGCAAGATCGTTCGAGAAGGAATCGTCCATGTGAATCACCTTGGAGTGTTTGAAATCTTTGCAAGGAACTTTGGAGTGTTTGAAATCTTTTCAAGGAAGTAGCAAGTATTGGATGATGGAATTAAAGATCTTGTGTTGATAGAGTGAAATCGAATTTACTCGAGTGAAATCTCTTGGAGTGTTTGAAATCTTTGCAAAGATCCTTGGAGTGTTTAAAATCTTTGCAAAAAAGTAGTTTAAGCGGCGAATTGTTTGCATCTATCGGTCTTGGTCTTGTTGAAGATCAAAAGGAGAGAAGGGGTTGAATCAACATCAAACAGTTATGGTTTGTAGTATTTCTCTTGAACGCTTCTCTTGTAACCATACTTTTGCAAAGTAAGAATTATCCTAATTCCATTAGAATTAGGCGCAGACGTACCCACATGCAAGGACGAAAGTGGAGAACTATGTAGACAAATCCTTGTGTCTCTTTTCTTTTATTGATTTACTTGCTTTAATTTTCATGCATAAATTTGTTAAATAGCATTGAGTAATTTATCGACACGTATGAATTTTCGAAACTGTTTTTGTTTTGAATTGTGTGTAGGGTTGCTTATAATCACTTTTGATTATAAGTTCTTTTTCATATCAACATAATACAAAGGAAAATTTTGAAACTTTGATTTCATGCCAAGTGTTTGACAAATTGTTTAACTTGTTTAACTCAAAGGAAAATTGCAATGTTCTATCTCTTACTTTCATTTACTCTACATATGCAATTTATTGAATGTGTTGTTTGATTGATTGATTCATATAGAACTTTTCTTTGATTGATAAAGCTTAAATTGCTTTGTTGTTTAGCTTATAATCACTTTGATTGTAAGTGCTTTTTCATATCAATAAAGCTCAAAGGATATTTTGAAAAATTGATTGCGTGCCATATGTTCGATAAATTATCAAGTTATGTTCCATATGGCTCGTGCACATCTGAGTTTCTAATAACTAGGTTTGTTTAGACTACTATATTGATCTAGGCCAAAAACCTTCTACTCAACATTGTTTTTCAAATAAGTTTTAAATAATCATTTTGAAAGGTAATTTTTATTTGGGGATCTATTCACCCCCCTCTAGATTTGATGTTGTAGTCTAACAAGTGGTATCAGAGTCTGGTTAATTCGGTGCTTCAAAACTCTTATTAGAGAATGACATACGAACCTAAAAGGGATTACAAAACCATCAAAATATTTTTGGAAGAAAACTATAGTTATTGGAAAGCTTGTATGCACATTCATGTTAATTCATATGACAAGGATATGTGTCATGCTATTACTCAAAACAATGCTAATGGCGTTGTCACATCTAAGCAGGAAGCACTATGGAATAATAATGATAAGAAAAATTAATTAAATATCTTTAATTGTTTGAACACACTTGGTAATCTTATTTCCAATGAAATTGCTACTAACAAGGTTGTGAGATGTCTTATTAGGAATTGGAAACCAAAGGTCTCCGCGATCAAGGAAGCCTTACAACACTTGATCTCAATATATTGTTTGGTAAGTTTGAAGAACATGAGCAAGAACTTACTTTCTTAGACAAGCATGTGAAAAATCTTGAGAAGAAAAAGAAAAAGGATAAAGACACGAATAAGGAGGAAAGTGAAGGTAGATAAAACACAAGAAATGTGGGTTTAAATTGTGTTCACAGAAAACATTTCCCATTAAAATTTTAAGCACTTAAATGATAATATCAATAAAGATAATGAAGATAAAGGCCACAAGTATTTTA